GCTTTTACTTGAAACCGGCTTTGTGAAACATTCTGAGAAATCAGAGTAAATGTTTCTGTATGTCACTTAACCTTCAATGCTGGATGAAAGAACGCATCTCCACATGCTCACGTCTGACAGCTGAATGTGTGTTGGAACTGTCCTTCACCTAACTTGCAGTAAACCCAGTGTTTCTGGTCTAGGGGAACTACGCTACCAACATGACTAAGGGGAGGCACTCGCTTCAACGCGGTTTTCCACAGCTAACTACTTTTACTTTGAAACAGGCATTAGTAAACATGCTGAGAAATCAGAGAATGTGTTTCTACGTGTCACTCTGCCTTTTATGCTGAGTGAAATAAGGCCTCTCCACATGCTCTATTTTCAAATCTGTATATGTATGGAAGCCGTCCTTCACCTAGCTCGTTGGGAACCAACAGTTTTTGGACTAGGGAAATAACGCTGCTTTCATATATATGCGAACGATCTAGCACCAACTCGCATTGCCACTGCAAAATGTTTTTACTTGAGACGGATTTCAGAAACATGCTAAGAAATCAGAGTGAGTGTTTCAGTATGTCATTTAACCTTCAATGGTGGAGGAAGGAACGCCTTAAAACATGCTCACTTCTGACATCTAAATGTGAGTTGGAGCCATTCTTCGCATAACTTCTTCGAAAACAAGGGTTTCTGGTCTAGGGGAACTACGCTGCTTACATATCTAAGCAGAGGCTTTCGCTCCAAAGCGGTTTCCCACAGCAAACTGCGCTTCCTTAGAAACTAGCATTAGGAAACTTGCTGAGAATTCAGAGTGACTATTTCTGTATGTCACTTAACCTTCAATGCTGGATGAAAGAACGCCTCTCCACAAGATCACTTCTGACATTTGAATTTGTGTTGGAGACGTCCTTCTCCTAACATGTTGGAAAACCAGAGTTTCTGGAATACGGGAACTACCCAATTTACATATCAAAGCGGAGGAACTCGATTCAAAGCAGTTTACCAAAGCAAAGTGATTTTTCTTTGAAACCAGCGTTTCACAGTAAACATAAAAGGCAGAGTGAGATATACAAACAAGTTCTCTGATTTCTCAGTATGTTTCTTAAACCCGGTTTCAAGTAAAAGCGGTTTGCAGTGAAAAACTGAGTTCGTGCTAGTACGTCCCCATATATATGAAAGTAACAAAGTTTACCTTGGACTGAAAATCTGGGTTTCCAACAAGTTAGGTGAAAGGCGGCTTCCACACTCCTACATTCCTGAAAATTGAGCATGTGGAGAGGTGTTCCTTCATCCAGCACAAAAGGCAGAGGGACTTCTACACACATATTCTCTGATTTCTGAGCATGTTTCTTACGCCAGTTTCAATGTAAAAGCGGTTTGATCTGGAAAACGAAGTTGGAGCGAGTGCCCCCCCTTACATATGGAAGTAGCGTAGTTCCCCTATACAAGAAACTCTGGGGTTCCATAGTTTCCATTGGACTGAAACTCTGGATTTCCATAAAGGTAGGTGAAAGATGGCTTCCGCACTCATTCAGTTCTGAATATTGAGAATGTAGAGAGACATTGTTTGTCTAGCATAATGGAAACTGTTTGCAGTAGAAACACCTACACTGGATTCTCAGTATGATTCCTAGTGCTGGTTTGAAGTTCATGCAGTTTTCATTCTTAATCAGAGTTGGAACTAGTACCTCCACATTTATACAAATGTAGTGAATTTACCCACTCATAAGAAACTGTGCGTTCCCATCAAGCTAGCTGATTGAAGACTTTCACACACACTAAACTCTCAGAAATGTGCAAATGGAGACACGTTTTTTCATCAAGCATAAATCGAATGGTTTCTACTAGAAAGACTTCTACTGGATTTTCAGTATGTTTTCCTCGTGCCGGATTGAAGTTAATGAAGTTTTCACTGTAACAGCGAATTGGAGCTTGTACCTCCCATTATATATGTATGTAGTGTAGTTACCCATTGAAAATAAACGTGGTCCCAACAAGTTAGGTAGTTGATGGCTTGTACAAACATTTATCTTTCAGAATTGTGCTTGTGGTGAGATGTTAGTTCATCTAGCATAAATGGAATGGATTGTAGTAGAAAAAAACATTCTGGTTTCTAATTATCTACACCTAGTGCCACTTAGAATGTCAGGAAGTTTCTCTGTAAAGGCGAGTTGGAGCTAGTAACTCCCCATATATATGTATGTAGTGTAGATACCTACTGAAAAGAAAACGTGGTCCCAAAAAGCTAGGTGAAGGAAGGCTTTCACACACACTTATCTCTTAGAAGAGAGCATGTGGAGAGACGTTCGTTCATGTAGCACAAATGGAACGGGTTGCATGACAAACACTTATTCTGGGTTCTCAGTACATTTCCTAGTGCTAGTTTGAAATTCCTGCAGTTTTCATTGTAAAACCAAGTTCGAGCAAGTACCTACCCATATATATGCATGTGTTTGCAACTGAAAAGAAACTTTGTGTTAGCAACAAGCTAGGTGGACAGCTTAAACACACATTTATCTCTCAGAACTGAGCATGTGGAGAGACGTTCGTTCATCTAGCATAAAGGGAGAGGGATCCAGGAGAAATAATTCCTCTGGTTTCTCAGACATTTCCTAGTGCCGGATTGAAGTTCTGGCAGTTGTCACTGTAAAACCGAGTTGGAGCTACTACCTCCCAATATATATGCAAGTAGAGGAGTTTCCAACTGAAAAGAAACTTTGTGTTCCCAACAAGCAAGGTGAGGACGGCTTTAACACACACATATCTCTGAGAACAGAGCATGTGGAGAGAAAGTCGTTCAACTAGCACAAAGGGAACAGGTTTCAGGGGAAACATTTATCCTGGTTTCTCAGTTTGTTTCCTACTGCCGATTTCAAGATGCTGCACTTTTCACTGTAAAACCGAGTTGGAGCTAGTACTTGCCCATATATATGAAAGTAGGGGAGTTTCCAACCGAAAAGAAATTTTGTGTTCGG